AAAAAAAAAAAAAATCACAGATTCTGCCCACCTGTTCTACCAAAGGCATGAATCTTAGGGGCTATGTCACTTGAGTGAGGGGTGTCTTTGCTTATTTGCAAGTTTGCCTCTAGTTGTGCCCTCACACTCCAGTCTATTCTGCTGCTTCTGGTGGGTGCTTCTTCCTGCATAGATTCAGAACAGACACACTGGCTCTTGCTCAAGGTCATCAGGGTCTTTTGTCTCTTCCTACCCTCTCCTGCCCCGAAAATCATTGCTGTCCTTCTGGAAAAGCAGCAGCTGGACTTCTGATGCCTTAAAGATGTCCTTATCTCCAGTTAACTAGACAGTCAGCTCCCTGCTGCAGCCCAGAGCATTCATTCTGGAGGAGCTGTGATGAGGTTTTCCCTTTGTTGTGTGCATTGGGGAAGGGGAAGGTTTTTGAGGAGTTTGCAGGGACAAAGATGCTTTTTCATCTTGTGAATTTCTAGTAAAGGGAAGTTCACATTCAAGAGAAGTTCTTACATTCTCTGGTGGGATTTAAGCATACGTTGGGAAAAAAATGAAATTTGTCATTTTAAGGCTGGAAGGAGCCTGAGGCCATTGTCCCATTGATCCTACTTTGCTTCTGTTGAATTATAGCACTGTCATATGCCTTTAGCAAGTGACTCCAACTTCCTCAAGTAGAACCAGGGTTGTGAAATCATAGAAGTTCTGATCCCAGGGCTGAGCAGTTGTGAGATGGGGAACAAGGGATAGAAATGGACAAACACACCACCTGGGAATCAAGGAGAAGAGGTGACAGGAAGAAGCAGTGGACAAAGGGATCCTGTGGGGCCACCGCCCACTAAGGGTAAGAGAGCCTTAACAGTACTCTTCATTATTACTATAATAATTTATTATATAATAAATAGAGGTAATTTACATAATACTTCATACAATGTTATATAATAAGTATATAATAAATTATATATAATTATAATAAGTATATAATAAATTATATATTGTAATAAGTATATAGTTAATTATATAATACATAGATTATATAATAAATATACATTATATATATAAATATATGTTATGTATAATATATTTATTGTATTGTTTACTATTATGTAATTTCCTACGCTGTTACTTTTATGATCCAAAAATCGTGAAAGGGCCTTACCTGGTGGCTTAATGGCTTCACAGCACTGTGAAGCTGTCTGTACTCAGCCACTGCGACATGAATTCAATCCCCAGCCAAGGAGGTGACCCACATGGCACAGGAGACCTCTCCTTACCCTCCTGCTGCTGCTCCTCTCAGCAGTGTATTTCAGTCAGTCTTCCTGTTCAGCTCCCCACTTTGTCTTGGTGAATCCTCTCACCCCTGATACTTCTGGTCTGTATTCCAGTTCTTATATGCATAAATAAATAAATCTAAAAAATATATAGATTCCTAAAAATGTTAAAATCAATAACAACAACAAAAAAAACAAAAAAAAAAGCAAAAATAATGAAGGGATCTAAGTTTTATTAAGCTATAACTCACATGCTATAACATTTAACTTTTAAAAATGCACAATAGGGGCCCTCGCTGGTGGCGCAGCGGGTTAAAGCACAGCATAAGGAAGCTTAAGCCATTTCCGCATGAGTTTGATCCCCACCTGCCCCAGAGGAGATCCACATGGTGTGGCAGACCTCTCCTGGCCC